ATGAATGTAGCCACTGTGACGTCACGATTTAGTAAAGAAATCAAAGTTTTAAAGGCTTCAGTAGAGTTATTAAACTCCTGGCATCTCCCTTTTTTAGCAACAAGCAAGAGTGACGAGCAAGCTGTGGATCTGGCTGAGAAACAGCAGTGACCTGTCAATCAAAAGGTAGACCCGCCCTAATGCATTCCTTGCTTTATCAGCCTAATGAAGACCATAATTTACAAAAATATTTAAAATAAGATTCTATTCAATAAGGTTTAAACTATAAACTCAATCAGGAAAGAGTCGCCCCCTGCTGTTCATTAGAAGCAATGCAGGTTTAAGTCACTTCTGGACTGATTTCATGGGGCTAAAACCATCTTGTATATATAGTTTGTGGTTTAACTTTTAAATAGATGCAAAGGTGGGTGTGACATCAGCAATGAGAGTAAATAACCCTAAGTTTCATTTTTAAAATTACAGGTTAAAAAAAAGAGAAAAACACAAATCAAAACACCGACTCTGATACCTTTTGAGTGTCTATGTCCTGCTGGATGTTTCCCATCTCTGTGCTGAGCCTCTCTTTATTCCTCTCAGCCTCTTGGAGCTGAGTCATTGCTGCTCGATACTCTGACTCTTTGTCCTGCAACATTGGCAGACAGATAGTATAAAAAAAATAACAAATCAACACGATTACAGTCCACATTTAAAATAAATGGATACAGTTGTGATGAGATAGTCCTAACTGAAGTTCATATTAGTTAGGAAACTGGTGAAATCCTCTAAACACTAAGGAAAGGTGCTTCAGTGCTTCCTTTGTTTAAACAGAAGCATCAAATCCTGTTTATCCAGCAGCGATCATCACGTTACCTCTTTGTATTTGTCTCTTCCCTCATCAACATATTTAGTGACGTCTCTTTGCAAAGCAGTGATTTCCTTCAGTCTCTCCTCAGTGTTACGAATCTGTCAGTAACAGAGTTACAGCAGTTACCTCATAAACATTCACAACTCTGTTTGATAGAAATGCTCTAAGAACATTGCACACATGATGTTATGTTTTTGTCTTAAACACGGTTCTACGTGCAAATGTATTTTATAACTGTGTGTTATTTGAACTGTGTTGATTCATTGGTTTTGGTTACGAGCAAAGGAACCTGACAATGTGCAGCAGATAGAAAGAAGGACACGTTCCCACTAAAAGAGCATGTATGCATCCACCTCCTTCTGCTCTTCTTCCTCTCTCTGCTTCTTCTGCTCCACCAGATTTTGCTTTTCCTGCTGCAGCTTCTCCAGAGCAGCTGATAAAGGGCACAGTTCTTCATTTCCCTCCTGTTCGACCACAAAGTCAGAGGAAAAAATGCAACGTTAAATATTTGTTTCCACTTACAGAGAAATAAAATTAGGTAAATGAATAATAATAATACATAAATAAACAGCACCCTGATCTCTGTGGTTAAGCCCTCCATCCTAGCAGTGATCCCTGCACTCAGCTCCTTCAGGTGCTGCTGCTTCTGTTTGTCTCTGATCAGCTGAAGCTGCTCGTCTCTCATCTCTATCGCTGCACTTTTCAGCCTCTGAATCTGCTCCTGCTGGTCCTGGATCTGTTTATGTTTACGCACAATTGTGCTGTAAGCTGCAAGGACACAAAAGGCCAAAAGAAAGGAAATCATGCTGCAATGCAGAGACGCAGATATAAAAGATATGAAGTAAGTCCAGTTTTTACACAGTTCGGATTGTCATGGGTTTCATGGGAGAAATCAAGGGTCGGAGTTAAAATCAGGGCTGGAAACAGAGCTGGTTGTCTTACTGG